ACAAGGTGTTCTCTTTGCTCTGTGACCCCAACTCAGGACTCGTCTGAAGGTTACAAACCAATGGAAGTGTGGAGGTATTTTTGTGCCAACAAAAAGAAGAGGTTAAATATGTGTAAAAAAAATAAAAATAATCCTGAACTTTCTTAGATCTCCTAGATATAGGACACACACTTCAAAATCTTATTCCTTATGATTTATTTTTTGACTTTTTTTTGCAATTTCTGAATATGTTATTCAATGCGTTTCTATGGGCTATAGTAGTTAAGGACAAATTCAATATTATATCAAATAATTATAATAATCAAAAAAAGATACCTAAAGTGCTCCTAAAATTCAAAATCAAATAGCTATTTGATCCATGGTGTGATGGGTGAGTTGAAGGAGTCAGGCGTAGGAGGGTAAATCACAGAATAACAGGATTTATTCTTGAAAACAGAGTTACACAGTCCAGTGCGCAAAAGAGGTGCACTGGGAACCAACAAGGCACACGGGGAAAATAACCCGGCGATACAAAATACAGGAGCTCCACCGATGCTTCACTTTTCCTCACAATAACAATCACACACAAAGACAAGGGGGGCAGAAGGAACACTTATACAGGTACTGATGAAGGGGGTAGATGAACCAGGTTGTGGGTAATAAACAAGACAAAAACCAATTGGAACGATGAGATTAGGAAGACGGCAGTGGCTGAAGGCCGGGGACGACGAACTCCGAACCCGACGAGTTGTGAATAACGGTCTACCGAAACATCAGCCCTGAACGTTGGCACACTTGACAAGTGGCCACAACCAGGTCCGGTTATGACCCCACTCCGACTCGTCAGTCTGCACCATCAGAGTTGAGGTATCTTGCCAACCCTGACGGTTAGTCTGTACTAGCCCTGAACCTTAGATCTGCCTAGTAGGACCCAATAAGATCTGTCTAGCTTGACCAACGATGTTAGTTCAATGCTCCCTAGCTTGACGTTAGTTGCCCAGCCCTTGACCAGTTAGTCCTGACTCAGCCCTTGACCCGGTTAAATCTGCCTAGACCCTTGACGGTTAGTCCGCCCTCAGCCTTGACGAGGTTAGTGAATCCCATACCAGTACTTGACAGGTTAGTCTGCCACCAGCTTGACCCAGGTAGGTGCCCTGACCTTGAACCGTTAGGCCCCACTGACCCGGTTATCCTGGCCCCAACGAGCTTCCTTACCCATAGTCCTGCCACCCAAGACCCATGAACCCGGTAGTCTGATCAGGGGCTTGACCCGGTTAGTCTGACCCATCAAGCCCTGCGGTTAGTGGGAGCGCACCTCAGACTGGACCGGTTATACGAACCGGTTAGTCCTGCCACCTCAGCCCTTGACCCGGTTAGTCCTGCACTCAGCCCTTGACCCGGTTAGTCCTGCTCAGCCCTTGACCCGGTTAGTCCTGCCCCCCCTCAGCCCTTGACCCGGTTAGTCCTGCCCCCTCAGCCCTTGACCCGTGCCCCTAGCCCTTGACCTGTCCTGCCCCCTCAGCCCTTGACCCGGTTAGTCCTGCCCCCTCAGCCCTTGACCCGGTTAGTCTGCCCTCAGCCCTTGACCGGTTAGTCCTGCCCCCTCAGCCTTGACCGGTTAGTCCTGCCCCCTCAGCCCTTGACCCGGTTAGTCCTGCCCCCTCAGCCCTTGACCCGGTTTAGTCCTGCCCCCTCAGCCCTTGACCCGGTTAGTCTGCCCCCTCACTGCCCACCTCAGCCCTTGACCCGGTTAGTCCTGCCCCCTCAGCCCTTGACCCGGTTAGTCCTGCCCCTCAGCCCTTGACCCGGTTAGTCCTGCCCTCCTCCAGCCCTTGACCCCGGTTAGTCCTGCCCCCTCAGCCCTTGACCCGGTTAGTCCTGCCCCTCAGCCCTTGACCCGGTTAGTCCTGCCCCCTCAGCCCTGACCCGGTTAGTCCTGCCCCTCAGCCCTTGACCCGGTTAGTCCTGCCCCCTCAGCCCTTGACCCGGTTAGTGCTGCCCCCTCAGCCCTTGACCCGGTTAGTCTGCCCTCAGCCTGACCTTGTCATGCCCCTCAGCCTTGACCCGTTAGTCCTGCCCCTCAGCCCTTGACCCGGTTAGTCCTGCCCCCTCAGCCCTTGACCCGGTTAGTCCTGCCCCCTCAGCCCTTGACCCGGTTAGTCCTGCCCCTCAGCCCTTGACCCGGTTAGTCCTGCCCCCTCAGCCTTGACCCGGTTAGTCCTTGCCCCCTCAGCCCTTGACCCGGTTAGTCCTGCCCCCTCAGCCCTTGACCCGGTTAGTCCTGCCCCCTCAGCCCTTGACCCGGTTAGTCCTGCCCCTCAGCCCTTGACCCGGTTAGTCCTGCCCCTCAGCCCTTGACCCGGTTAGTCCTGCCCCTCAGCCCTTGACCCGGTTAGTCCTGCCCCTCAGCCCTTGACCCGGTTTAGTCCTGCCCCCTCAGCCTTGACCCGGTTAGTCTGCCCCCTCAGCCCTTGACCCGGTTAGTGCTGCCAGCCCTTGACCCGGTTAGTCCTCCCCCTCAGCCCTTGACCCGGTTAGTCCTGCCCCCTCAGCCCTTGACCCGGTTAGTCCTGCCCCCTCAGCCCTTGACCCGGAGTGTAGTTCCGTTGCCCCCTCAGCCCTTGACCCGGTTAGTCCTGCCACCCTCAGCCCTTGACCGGTTAGTCCTGCCCCTCAGCCCTTGACCCGGTTAGTCCTGCCCCCTCAGCCCTTGACCCGGTTAGTCCTGCCCCCTCAGCCCTTGACCCGGTTAGTCCTGCCCCCTCAGCCCTTGACCCGGTTAGTCCTGCCCCTCAGCCCTTGACCCGGTTAGTCCTGCCCCCTCAGCCCTTGACCCGGTTAGTCCTGCCCCCTCAGCCCTTGACCCGGTTAGTCTGCCAGCCCTTGACCGGTTAGTCCTGCCCCCTCAGCCCTTGACCCGGTTAGTCCTGCCCCTCAGCCCTTGACCCGGTTAGTCCTGCCCCCTCAGCCCTTGACCCGGTTAGTCCTGCCCCCTCAGCCCTTGACCCGGTTAGTCCTGCCCCCTCAGCCCTTGACCCGGTTAGTCCTGCCCCCTCAGCCCTTGACCCGGTTAGTCCTGCCCCCTCAGCCCTTGACCCGGTTAGTCCTGCCCCCTCAGCCCTTGACCCGGTTAGTCCTGCCACCTCAGCCCTGACCCGGTTAGTCCTGCCCCCTCAGCCCTTGACCCGGTTAGTCCTGCCCCCTCAGCCCTTGACCCGGTTAGTCCTGCCCCCTCAGCCCTTGACCCGGTTAGTGCTGCCCCTCAGCCCTTGACCCGGTTAGTGCTGCCAGCCCTTGACCCGGTTAGTCCTGCCCCCTCAGCCCTTGACCCGGTTAGTCCTGCCCCCTCAGCCCTTGAACCGGTTAGTCCTGCCCCTCAGCCCTTGACCCGGGTTAGTCCTGCCCCCTCAGCCCTTGACCCGGTTAGTCCTGCCACCTCAGCCCTTGACCCGGTTAGTCCTGCCCCCTCAGCCCTTGACCCGGTTAGTCCTGCCCCCTCAGCCCTTGACCCGGTTAGTCCTGCCCCTCAGCCCTTGACCCGGTTAGTCCTGCCCCCTCAGCCCTTGACCCGGTTAGTCCTGCCACCTCAGCCCTTGACCCGGTTAGTCCTGCCACCTCAGCCCTTGACCCGGTTAGTCCTGCCCCTCAGCCCTTGACCCGGTTAGTCCTGCCCCCTCAGCCCTTGACCCGGTTAGTGCTGCCCCCTCAGCCCTTGACCCGGTTAGTGCTGCCAGCCCTTGACCCGGTTAGTCCTGCCCCCTCAGCCCTTGACCCGGTTAGTCCTGCCAGCCCTTGACCCGGTTAGTCCTGCCCCCTCAGCCCTTGACCCGGTTAGTCCTGCCCCCTCAGCCCTTGACCGGTTAGTCCTGCCACCTCAGCCCTTGACCCGGTTAGTCCTGCCCCCTCAGCCCTTGACCCGGTTAGTCCTGCCCCCTCAGCCCTTGACCCGGTTAGTCCTGCCCCCTCAGCCCTTGACCCGGTTAGTCCTGCCCCTCAGCCCTTGACCCGGTTAGTCCTGCCCCTCAGCCCTTGACCCGATTAGTGCTGCCCCCTCAGCCCTTGACCCGGTTAGTGCTGCCCAGCCCTTGACCCGGTTAGTCCTGCCCCCTCAGCCCTTGACCCGGTTAGTCCTGCCCCCTCAGCCCTTGACCCGGTTAGTCCTGCCCCCTCAGCCCTTGACCCGGTTAGTCCTGCCCCCTCAGCCCTTGACCCGGTTAGTCCTGCCCCCTCAGCCCTTGACCCGGTTAGTCCTGCCCCCTCAGCCCTTGACCCGGTTAGTCCTGCCCCCTCAGCCCTTGACCCGGTTAGTCCTGCCACCTCAGCCCTTGACCCGGTTAGTCCTGCCCCCTCAGCCCTTGACCCGGTTGTCCTGGCCACCTCAGCCCTGACCCGGTAGTCTGCCCCTCAGCCCTTGACCCTGGTTAGTCCTGCCCCAGCCCTGACCCGGTTAGTCCTGCCCATCAGCCTTGACCCGGTTAGTCCTGCCCCCTCAGCCTTGACCCGGTTAGTCCTGCCCCCTCAGCCCTTGACCCGGTAGTCCTGCCCCCTCAGCCTTGACCCGTTAGTCCTGCCCCCTCAGCCCTTGACCCGGTTAGTCCTGCCCCTAGCCCTTGACCCGGTTAGTCCTGCCCCCTCAGCCCTTGACCCGGTTAGTCCTGCCCCCCTCAGCCCTTGACCCGGTTAGTCCTGCCCCCTCAGCCCTTGACCCGGTTAGTCCTGCCCCCTCAGCCCTTGACCCGGTTAGTCCTGCCCCCTAGGGGATAGAGTGTGGAAGTATATCCTGGTAGAGTGTGTTGGCTCACCCCCCCCCCCCCCCCCCCTCCCCCCATTATGTTATGTAATACCATAATATCACATCTGATTTAAAGACCAGGATCGGAGAACACTGTCCAAGAAGATGGTCAACGAAATTACAAAAATATATATGTTTTTTTTTAATCTATAGATCATATTTTCAAAGAAGGCTATCCTCCAGCTTGAAGTTCCATTGGGATGTATATTCCAAACCTTCCCCGGGGAACATGTTAGAGGTCTTCATCCTGTTCTGTTTCTGTCTCATCATCGGTGCAGCGATAGGAGGTCTTCTGCATGTGTGGATGGTCTACAGTCTGAACTACCAGCCCTTTCCGTCCATGGTGATCGCCTGCACCTGGGGCTGTGTAACAGTCCTGCTGCTCTTCTTCCTCCACCCCGTCCGCTGTGTCCTCTCTATCTCAGTCCCCTCCCTGGGCATCAAACAGGTAGCATTGTCACTAGGGTTTCACATTTCTGGATAACTTTCACAAAATACCCAAGGTTTTCTAGAAATCACAGTTGGAAGATTCCCGGAAATCAGGTCTCACTATCATGATGCTCCTTTTTTCATGCCAAAAAAAAGAAAGCACGAAGCAGACTAAACTCTTTAATCCTTTAAAAACCTGCTTTATGTAAAATAGTGTGTGATAAAACTTGGAAAATAAACAAATGTGGCTCATAGCAAACAACATAAGATAGGGCTGTTTGTTTTGTTAGGTTCAGAACAAACAAAAAGGTTTATTCAACCCACTGTGTCATACAGCTGCAAATACATTTTTGCACATGATCAAACAGTCATTTATATGTCATGATGAGATTAGGTGTGTAACTTCTCAGAACTGGTATCTGTTTGCAGATACTGCCTAAAGCAGTTCCTCTTTATACAGTCACTGCTCAGTGATGTTTATCAGTGATCTCCTGTTCACCTTAGTCAACAGGACTTTTCGCTCACAGTAACTTGCACTCAGTAACTTTCCACACACCTAGTTCCTCTTTCCACTTCCTTGACCCCTAACATATACATTCCTTATATACTACCAGTCCAAGGTTTGGACACACCTACTCATTGAAGGGTTCTTCTTTATTTTTACTATTTTTACATTGTAGAATAATAGTTAAGACATCAAAACAATGAAATAACACATGTGGAATCATGTAGTAAACAAAAAAGTGTTAAACAAATCAAAATCTATTTTATATTTGAGAATCTTCAAATAGCCACCCTTTGCCTTGATGACAGCTTTGCACACTCTTGGCATTCTCTCAATCAGCTTCACATGGAATGCTTTTCCAACAGTCTTGAAGGAGTTCCCACATATGCTAAGCACTTGTTGGCTGCTTTTCCTTCTCTATGCAGTCTGACTAATCCCAAACCATCTCAATTGGGTTGAGGTCAGGGGATTGTGGAGGCCAGGTCATCTGATGCAGCACTCCATCACTCTCCATCTCCATGGTAAAATAGCCCTTACACAGCCTGAATGTGTGTTGGGTCATTGTCCTGTTGAAAAAGAAATGATAGTCCCACTAAGCCCAAACCAGATGGGATGGCGTATCACTGCAGAATGCTGTGATAGCCATGCTGGTTAAGTGTGTGTTGAATTCTAAATAAATCACAGACAGTTTCACCAGAAAAGCACCCCCACACCATAACACCTCCTCCTCCATGCTTTACGGTGGGAACTACACATGCAGAGATCATCCGTTCACCCACACAGCGTCTCACAAAGACACGGCAGTTGGAACCATCAATCTCCAATTTGGACTCCAGACCAAAGGATACATTTCCACCGGTCTAATGTCCATTGCTCGTGTTTCTTGGCCCAAGCAGGTCTCTTCTTATTATTGGTGTCCTTTAGTAGTGGTTTCTTTGCAGCAATTCGACCATGAATTCCTGATTCACACAGTCCCCTCTGAACAGTTGATGTTGAGATGTGTCTGTGACTTGAACTCTGTGAACCAGAGTTCAATTCGCCTTCATGGTCGAATTGCTGCAAGGAAACCACTACTAAATGACACCAATAAGAAGAAGAGACCTGCTTGGGCCAAGAAACACGAGCAACATTCACCAAATTATATTTTGAAGGAGGAAACAAAGTACTTTCAGCATATGTTTTCGTTTCAGTTGCCTCCATCTTCTCTAACTGAAGCTAATTGTTGAGATTTTTTAAAATTGATAATTTAACATTAACAGCCATACAGAAAGACTCATGTGAAGGTGAAATTACAGAGGAGGAACTTCTGGATGCAATTAAAGACTTGAAGTCCGGGAAAACTCCAGGGTTGGATGGCATACCAGTCGAGGTATACCAAACCTTTTTTGATATACTAAGAGGACCGTTATTAGCATGTTTTAACCACTCCTATGTAAATGGTAGATTATCTGACACTCAAGAAGAAGGTCTTATCTCATTATTACTGAAACAGGATACAAGTGGAAAATATAAAGATCCAGTCCATTAAAAAAATTGGAGGCCCCTTACACATCAGTGTTGTGATGCAAAAATTCTAGCAAAATGTATAGCGCATAGAATTAAAAAGGTATTGTCGGATATTATTCATTCTAATCAGACAGGTTTTTTACATGGAAGATACATTGGAGATAATATAAGGCAAGTATTGGAAACAATAGAACACTATGGAAAATCTGGGAAACCAGGCCTGCTATTCATAGCAGACTTCGAAAAGGCATTTGATAAAGTACGACTGGGGTTTATATATAAATGCCTGGAGCATTTCAATTTTGGAGAATCTCTTATAAAATGGGTCAAAATCATGTATAGTAACCCTAGGTGTAAAATAGTAAATAATGGCTATTTCTCAGAAAGTTTTAAACCGTCAAGAGGAGTGAAACAAGGTTGTCCACTATCGGCATATCTATTTATTGTGGCCATCGAGATGTTAGCTATTAAAATCAGATCCAACAATAATATCAGGGGATTAGAAATCCAGGGCTTAAAAACAAAGGTGTCATTGTACACTGATGATTCATGTTTTCTTTTAAGTCCACAACTAGAATCCCTCCCCAGCCTCATAGAGGATCTAGATACATTTTCTAACCTCTCTGGATTACAACCACATGATGACAAATGTATTATATTACGTATTGGATCACTATAAAAAATATAATTTTTATATTACATGTAGTTTACCAATAAAATGGTCTTATGGTGATGTGGATATACTCGGAATACATATGAAATAAATGATCTCACTCCAATACATTTTAATAGAAAGTTAGCAAAAATAGATAAGATCTTGCTACCATGGAAAGGGAAACACCTGTCAATTTGTGAAAAAATCACCCTGATTAACTCTTTAGTATTATCCCAGTTTACCTATTTGCTTATGGTCTTTCCTACACCTAGCGAACAGTTTTATTAAATTATATGAGAAAAAAATATTCCATTTTATTTGGAACAGCAAGCCAGACAAAATTAAACGGGCCTATTTCTATAATTAATATGAATTCGGAGGATAGAAATTATTAAATATTAAAGCATTAGACCTATCACTAAAAGCTTCAGTCATACAAAAGTTATACTTAAATCCGAACTGGTTCTCTAGCAAATGAGTAAGATTGTCTCACCCAATGTTCAAGAATGTCCCTTTTCCCTTTATTCAGATTACAACCTCTCACTTTCAGTTATTTGAAAAGGAAATAATCTCCCAAATATCACTATGTCTAAAACAAGCCATAGAAAGTTTGTTGCAATTTCAATTTAATCCTCCAGAAACGACAGAACAAATAATGCAACAAATATTGTGGTTAAACTCAAATATACTAATTGACAAAAACCCTTTTTTTTTACAAAAAAAAAAAAAAAAAAGGTATAATCTTCATAAATGATATCATCGGTAGGACTGGTGGAGTTATGCAGCTAACAAAAACACATGGAAATGTCTGCTCTACCCAAAATTACAACCAAATAATTGCAGCCTTACCGCAAAAATGGAAGAGGAAAGTGGAAGGGGGAGAAAGTTTGTCTGTCGGCTTTGCATTAAAGAACATAATTGGTTAAGGAAAACTGTGATAAATAAAAAAGTATATCAGTTTCATTTAAGGACCAAAGGATTGACAGCCGTCCCATATAGATTGCAAAATAGTTGGGAAGAGATTTTTGACGTACCGATCCCATGGCATAGTGTTTATGAACTGATACGCAAAACGACACCGGATTCAAAACATAGAATCGTTCAATTTAAATTATTATATAAAATTCTTGCTACCAATAGAATGTTATTTATATGGGGGATACAATCTTCCCAGCTCTGCAGATTTTGCTGCGAAGAGACAGAATCATTAGATCATTTGTTTTGGTACTGTCCATTTGTAGCTTGTTTTTGGACACAGGTCCAGGAATGGCTAAAGGATTGCAATATTTACCTGGAGCTAACCTTGCAGATAGCATTATTGGGTGATCTGAAAAGTCATAGTCAATCGATCAATAACATAATAATACTTTTAGCAAAAATGTTTATTTTCAATTCACAATCTGTAGAAACAATGAGAATAGAAAGGTTCAGAACCTTTGTAAGACATCACAGTACAGTTGAAATATATATGGCAAATAGAAATCCTATATGGATGGTGTTAAAAGATAGATGGGAGGTGTTGAAAGGAATTGAAGGATGGGACTAATAACAACTAACAACAAGTAATAACAAGATAACTAATAATGTAAGCATACTGTGTCCATAATAAGTATATAGGTTGTAGGTTGGGAGCTTTTGTGAAAGAGCACAGTTAGAAAGATATGGCATATAGAAGCAAACCGGATGGACATCATGAAAACGATCGGAGAGGTTGAGGGTAGAGGAAGTTCAGGAGTAAAAACAAACAAAATATAATTATTGTAAAATTGACTGTGTCCATAAAATGTAGATAGTATGTATAAGCTGGAAGTAGAGGCCTAAGCATTGTTGTTCACTAGTTTACTCCAAGTAGGGAAAGGGTGGCGGGGTTGGAAAGTAATAAAGGGGAATATATATATATATTTTTTTTTAAGGATATGTATGTGTATGTATATGTCTACAGAAAAAATTAATAATAATAATAATAATAATAATAATAATAATAATAAATAAATAAATACAAATAAAAAATAAAAAATAAAAAATAAAAAGTAACACGAGCAATGGACATTAGGCCAGTGGAAATGTATCCTTTGGTCTGGAGTCCAAATTGGAGGTGACTGGGAATATGGCAGAATACAAACAGTGTAGCTACTCACTCCGCAAGGCAATTAAACTGGCAAAACGTCAGTACAGAGACAAAGTGGAGTCGCAATTCAACGGCTCAGACACGAGACGTATGTGGCAGGGTCTACAGACAATCACGGACTACAAAAGGAAAACCAGCTACACCGCTGACACCGACGTCTCGCTTCCAGACAAGCTAAACACCTTCTTCGCCCGCTTTGAGGATAACACAGTGCCACTGACGCGGCCCACTACCAAGGACTGTGGTCTCTCCTTCTCCGTGAACGTTATGTTAACCCCCGCAAGGCTGCCGGCCCAGACAGCATCCCTAGCCCCGTCCTCAGAGCATGTTCAGACCAGCTGGCTGGTGTGTTTATGGACATATTCAATCTCTCCCTATCCCAGTCTGGTGTCCCCACATACTTCAAGATGGCCACCATTGTTCCTGTACCCAAGAAAGCAAAAGTAACTGAACTAAATGACTATTGCCCCGTAGCACTCACCTCTGTCATCATGAAGTGCTTTGAGAGACTAGTCAAGGATCATATCACTTCTACCTTACCTGTCACCCTAGACCCACTTCAATTTGCTTACCACCCCAATAGATCCACAGACGATGCAATCGGCATCAAACTGCACACTGCCCTATCCCACCTGGACAAGAGGAATACCTACAGTTGAAGTTGGAAGTTTACATACACCTTAGCCAAATACATTTAAACTCAGTTTTTCACAATTCCTGACATTTAATCCAAGTAAACATCCCCTGTCTTAGGTCAGTTAGGATCACCACTTTATTTTAAGAATGTGAAATGTCAGAATAATAGTAGAGAGAATGATTTATTTCAGCTTTTATTTTTTTCATCACATTCCCAGTGGGTCAGAAGTTTACATACACTCAATTAGTATTTGGTAGCATTGCCTTTAAATTGTTTAACTTGGTTCAACATTTCGGGTAGCCTTCCACAAGCTTCCCACAATAAGTTGGGTGAATATTGGCCCATTCCTCCTGACAGAGCTGGTGTAACTGAGTCAGGTTTGTAGGCCTCCTTGCTCGCACACGCTTTTTCAGTTCTTCCCACAAATGTTCTATAGGATTGAGGTCAGGGCTTTGTGATGGTCACTCCAATACCTTGAATTTGTTGTCCTTAAGCCATTTTGCCACAACTTTGGAAGTATGCTTGGGGTCATTGTCCATTTGGAAGACCCATTTGCGACCAGGCTTTAACTTCCTGACTGATGTTTTGAGATGTTGCTTCAATATATCCACATCATTTTCCTTCCTCATGATGCCATCTATTTTGTGAAGTGCACCAATCCCTTCTGCAGCAAAGCACCCCCACAGCATGATGCTGCCACCCCCGTGCTTCACGGTTGGGATGGTGTTCTTCGGCTTGCAAGCAACCCCCTTTTTCCTCCAAACATAATGATGGTCATTATGGCCAAACAGTTCTATTTTTGTTTCATCAGACCAGAGAACATTTCTCCAAAAAGTACGATCTTTGTCCCCATGTGCAGTTGCAAACCGTAGTCTGGCTTAATGGCGGTTTTGGAGCAGTGGTTTCTTCCTTGCTGAGCGGCCTTTCAGGTTATGTCGATATAGGACTAGTTTTACTGTGGATATAGATACTTTTGTACCTGTTTCCTCCAGCATCTTCACACGGTCCTTTGCTGTTGTTCTGGGATTGATTTGCACTTTTCGCACCAAAGTACGTTCATCTCTAGGAGACAGAATGCGTCTCCTTCCTGAGCGGTATGACGGCTGTATGGTCCCATGGTGTTTATACTTGCATACTATTGTTTGTACAGATGAACGTGGCACCTTCAGGCGTTTGGAAATTGCTCCCAAGGATGAACCAGACTTGTGGAGGTCTACTATTGGCTGATTTATTTTGATTTTCCCATGATGTCAAGCAAAGAGGCACTGAGTTTGAAGGTAGGCCTTGAAATACATCCACAGGTACACCTCCAATTGACTCAAATGATGTCAATTAGCCTATCAGAAGCTTCTAAAGCCATGACATTCTTTTCTGTAATTTTCCAAGCTGTTTAAAGGCACAGTCAACTTAGTGTATGTAAACTTCTGACCTACTGGAATTGTGATACAGTGAATTATAAGTGAAACAATCTGTCTGTAAACAATTGCTGGAAAAATTACTTGTGTCATGCACAAAGTAGATGTCCTAACCAACTTGCCAAAACCATAGTTTGTTAACAAGAAATTTGTGGAGTGGTTGAAAAACGAGTTTTAATGACTCCAACCGAAGTGTATGTAAACTTCCGACTTCAACTGTATGTAAGAATGCTGTTCATTGACTACAGCTCAGCATTCAACACCATAGTACCTTCCAAGCTCATCATTAAGCTCGGGGTCCTGGGTCTGAACCCCGGCCTGTGCAACTGGGTCCTGGACTTCCTGACGGGCCGCCCCCAGGTGGTGAAGGTAGGAAACAACATCTCCACTTCGCTGATCCTCAACACTGGGGCCCCACAAGGGTGCGTGCTCAGCCCCCTCCTGTACTCCCTGTTCACCCTTGACTGCATGGCCAAGCACGCCTCTAACTCAATCATCAAGTTTGCAGACGACACAACAGTAGTAGGCCTGATTACCAACAATGATGAGACAGCCTACAGGGAGGAGGTGAGGGCTCTGGGAGTGTGGTGCCAGGAAAATAACTTCTCACTCAAAATCAACAAAACAAAGGAGATGATCGTGGACTTCAGGAAACAGCAGAGGGTGCACCCCCCTATCCACATCGACGGGACCGCAGTGGAGAAGGTGGAAAGCTTCAAGTTCCTTGGCGTGCACATCACTGACAAACTGAAATGGTCCACCCACGTAGACAGTGTGGTGAAGAAGGCGCAACAGAGCATCTTCAACCTCAGGAGGCTGAAGAAATTTGGCTTGGCACCTAAAACCCTCACAAACTTTTACAGATGCACAATTTAGAGCATCCTGTCGGGCTGTATCACCGCCTGGTACGGCAACTGTACCGCCCATAACCGCAGGGCTCTCCAGAGGGTGGTGCGGTCTGCCCAACACATTACCTGGGGCAAACTACCCGCCCTCCAGGACACCTACAGCACCCGATGTCACAGGAAGGCCAAAAAGATCATCAAGGACATCAACCACCCGAGCCACTGCCTGTTCACCCCGCTATCATCCAGAAGGCGAGGTCAGTACAGGTGCATCAAAGCTGGGGCAGAGAGACTGAAAAACAGCTTCTATCTCAAGGCCATCAGACTGTTAACTAGCATGATTTGTGTGCATTGGGTATATGTTGTGAAATTGTTAGATATTACTTGTTAGATATTACTGCACTGTCGGAGCTAGAATCACAAGCATTTCGCTACACCTGCAATAACATCTGCTAAACACGTGTATATGACAAATACAATTTGATTTGATTTGATTTATTTAGGTTGCAATTTCTGAGGCTGGTAATAAACGTATCCTCTAGTTCAGGGGTGTCAAAAGTCCGGCCCGCGGGCCGGATTAGGCCCACAAACGGGTTTAATCCGGCCCGCGAGATGATTTTGAAAAAAATAAAAATACAAAAAAAATACAAAAAAATTAATAATAATTTTGTAAAGTATAAAAATGCGCTGCAATTTTTCAATAAAATAAACTGCTGTTCCAATTGGGTCCACTGGATGGCGCAATAGCAATTGTGTTAAGCAAGCAAACTGTTTATACCGGGGCAGAGCAAGTAGGTCAAGCACGTGCAGCCAATGAGCTACTTTGTTTTGCCCGCGATATTTATTACGGCTTCTACTTTTAACATTATGTGATTTGGCACCCTCATTGCCCCAATATGTCTCTGTCAAAAAATAGAAAAGTGGACGCAGAGTGCAGAGTGTTCCAAGAAAAATGGTCATCCTATTTATGCTGAAAGAATATAACCTTCGTCGCCACTATGTGAGTCTTCATGCCGACAAATATGACAACTTTCAAGGACAGCGGAGATGAGAGAAGGTGAATGAACTGTTGGCAGGTCTGAAGAAACAGCAGTCTGTGTTTACTCACAGCCGAGACATCAGTGACGCTGCAGTGAAAGCTAGCTACCTCATTGCTAATGAAATCGCAGTGGCTTCAAAACCATTTAGTGAGGGTGAATTTGTCAAAACATGCATGATGAAGGCAGCGGAGATTGTGTGCCCTGAAAAGCGGCAGGCTTTTGCAAATATCAGCCTGACAAGAAACACAGTTGCAGACAGGATTTCCGATCTTTCAGTGGATTTGGACAGCCAGTTGAAGCAAAAAGTAAAGTCATTTATTGCGTTTTCGGTTGCAATTGATGAAAGCACGGACATTACAGATGTTGCACAACTGGCCATTTTCATCCGCGGAGTTGATGACACATTGACCGTCACCGAGGAGTTCGTGGAGTTGGTGCCGATGACAGATACAACGACAGCAGCTGATATTTTTACCGCACTCGTCGGCGCGCTGGACAGGGTCGGAGTGGACTGGTCCCGCGCTGTCAGCCTGGCTACAGATGGTGTGCCCTCAATGATCGGGAAAAAAGCAGGCGTTGTGACAAAGTTCAGAGAGAAAGTGCAATCTGCAAATGGAGGACGTGATTTTTTGACTTTTCACTGTATTTTGCACCAGGAGGCTTTGTGTTGCAAGTCATTAAAGATGGATAACGTCATGAAGGTGGTCATCCAAACTGTTAATTTCATCCGATCCAGAAGCCTGAATCACCATCAGTTTGACAGCCTTCTCGGAGAGAAAGACCTCATCTATGGCCTGCCATACCACACTGAGGTAAGATGGTTAAGCCGAGGTGCTGTGCTGAGGCGTTTCTTTGATTTACGAGAAGAAATTGAACAGTTCATGGAAGAAAAGGGCAAACCAGTGTTAGAATTTCATTCCGCAGAATGGATGCAGGACCTTGCATTTATGATGGATGTTACAGAGCACCTGAATAACTTGAACAAACAGCTGCAAGGGCGCAACAAAGTTGTCACGCAGTATTATGACAGCATACGTTCTTTCAAGTTGAAGCTGTCATTGTGGGAGACGCAACTTCCCGGTGGTGATGCAGCTCACTTCCCCTGTCTGAAAAATGTGTGCGCGACCCAACATGTGGCAGACATGAAGCGGTTCAAAGATAAAATAACGGGACTGTTACGGGAGTTTGAGCAACGCTTTCAGATTTATGTTTATATGTTTTTATGTTGATGTGCTATTGTTTTTAATTGATTTTATTTTATTTGTATATTTAACCTATTCTTGACTCTGTGGTTCTTGCACTTGTTTGGGGAACAGGATTTCATTATTTTTATCTACATTTCTGCCTGAGAAATGACACCCTGATATAGTTCTGTGATCTGTGAAACAGTTCTGTTAATCACTGAGGCATTGTGTGTTTGTGTGTTCTTTGTCCTCAGAACTTTCAAATAACTTGAGGTGTTTTATGATTAATAGTGATGTTGTGCTTTTGGACACTGTCCTCGGGCTCCAGCTTTATGTTTATATGTTTTTATGTTGATGTGCTATTGTTTTTAATTGATTTTATTTTATTTGTATATTTAACCTATTCTTGACTCTGTGGTTCTTGCACTTGTTTGGGGAACAGGATTTCATTATTTCTATCTACATTTCTGCCTGAGAAATGACACCCTGATATAGTTCTGTGATCTGTGAAACAGTTCTGTTAATCACTGAGGCATTGTGTGTTTGTGTGTTCTTTTTCTTTAGAATTTTCAAATAAACTTGACGTGTTTTATGATTAATAGTGATGTTGTGCTTGTACTATTTTGGACACACTGTCCTCAGGCTCCAGCTTTATGTTGTATGTTGATCGTATTAAAACAAAGAAAACAATCTGAAGTTGTTGTTTTTAAGTTATATATACCATGATTTTTCCGGTCCGGCCCACTTGGGAATAGATTTTCCTCCATGTGGCCCCTGAGCTAAAATGAGTTTGACACCCCTGCTCTAGTTCTTGCCATAATATGGACTTGGTATTTTACCAAATAGGGCTATCTTCTGTATACCCCCCCCTACCTTGTCACAACACAACTGATTGGCTCAAATGCATTAAGAAGGAAGGAAATTCCACAAATTTACTTTTAAGAAGTTAACATCAACATCTGTTAATTGAAATGCATTCCAGGTGACTACCTCGTGAAGCTGGTTAAGAGAATGCCATGAGTCTGCAAAGCTGTCATCAAGGCAAAGGGTGGCTATTTGAAGAATCTCAAATATACATTTGTTGAACACTGTGATAGACTAGTAGTGTTTCTAATAGTAGGGCTGTCTTCATGTTTTGTTTCCTTGCCGTGGTACTTCCTGGTACGGCGGTACTCCCTGGTTTCATCGTTACAACCCTACAAACAGGGCAGGAAGATCCTCATCTCCACCGCCCTGGTAATCGTGGTAACCAGCTGCATCCCCAACATGACCAGGAACTTGAGCCGCTCCGTTGACATGATCAAGTGCTCTTCCCACAGGTGAGCCACTGCTCCCACAGATTATCTGCTCCGTTGACATGATCAAGTGCTCCTCCCACAGGTGAGTCACTCTGTTGACACGATCAAGGGCTCCCCTCCCCTCTGACCCTCTCCTCCAATGGGTTTTGAGAAGGAGACGAGGACAAAAAGGACGCGAAGAGTATGTGTAGGACCTGACTTTGTAGTTTAGTTATAGGACTACAATTACCAATGTTCATATTAATGGAAGTGTTTTGGACTTCTGACCCCATTTAAACATTGTGTGTTTGAGCGACAGACTTCTGGCTGGTACCATTGGAGTCGTCTATTTCTTCTGCATCTATTGATACCCACAGCCGTCGCTATGGGCGGGCCATAGGGGGCCGGGCCCGCCCCCAAAAATGCTTGTGCCCCCCCCCCCCACTTGAGGGAATTTATAATTAAATATACATACTGTAGGCTAATAGTATTGTGCCCTGCCCTCCCATGCATTTCATATGCCCCCCTTAAGACTGAGGTCTGGCGACGGGTCTGTTGATACCAACTAGGCTGTGTGATTAACGAGGGCTGAGCTAGAGCGGGGGACCCGAAGGGGCACGGGGCCGGGTCTTTTTATAAAACATGTGTAGAGTCCGAATGGTTTGAAACTGTTAAAAGCTATCTATGAAAATCTGAGACTCTCACAAACATGTAGATATAATGAATTACATGTTTTGCTATCACCAACGCCAAACTCCACACAGTTGTCACTGACAAGTTGGATATTAATTTCCCACTGAGCAAACCATTTCTGTACTTATAGCATTTATATCAATTCATTTTTATCAGGTTTTTGATTTGGTAGACCTTTTTTTGTTGTTGACATTTGTCTCAGACACACTCCTACATGTGATGTTGAGGAATTTATTAACTGAAAGTTGATGTTAGAGAGGCAACAAGCACCAGTACAGCAGGCGGACGTGGTTCAAATAATAATAATAATACTAATACTACTACTAATAATAATAATACTAATACTAATACTAATACTAATACTAATACTAATAATACAATAATAATAATAATAATAATAATAATAATAATAATAGTAATAGTAATAGTAATAATAATAATAATAATACTACTAATATGCCATTTAGCAGATGCTTTTATCCAAAGCGACTTACAGTCATGTGTGCATAAATTTTTACGTATGGGTGGGTCCCGGGGATCGAACCCACTACCCTGGCGTTACAAGCGTTGTGCTCTACCAGCTGAGCTACAGAGGACCACAAGAGGACACCCCAAGCACACTAACGAGATGAATGCATCCATATTTTTAGCACCGACCCAGCCTCTTCTGGCTATGATGGAAAACAACACATTGGAATTTACCAGATTAAATAAGGTCCTGAAGGAGTAATAGTTCTTCTTTATTGTTTGGGGACAACATTTTACATTTTAGTCATTTAGACACTCTTATCCAGAGTACTGCTTACAGGTAACATTATTATAAAAAATAAAAAAATCATACTAGCCCCTCATGGGAATCGAACTCACAACCCTAGCATTGCAAATGCCATGCTCTACCAACTGAGCTACATCCCTGCCGGCCATTCCCTCCCATACCCTGGGCCAATTGTGCGCCGTCCCATGGGTCTCCCAGTCGCGGTCTAATGAGGGGAATATGAACCAGGTGTGTGTAATTGACAAGACAAGACTAATGGAATGATGAGATATGGAGCGGCAGTGGCTAGAAGGCCGGTGACGAAGCCTGCCCGAACAAGGAGGGGAGGCAGCTTCGGAGGAAGTCGTGACATCCCCAGACATTATTTAATCAAGAAGCAGACTAAACTCTTTAAGAACCAGCTCTATGTAAAATATTGTGTGCTATATCATGGAAAATAAATAAATGTGACTCTGGGTAACACACTTTTAAATACCTCCCACAGTACCGCCGAGAGAATCCTGCCATCCTGGATACAGGACATGAAGGGTTTCTTCAGAACCCTACCGGACATTGTGAACAGCGACCATATCGATCTGAAATTGAATTTCCAGGAGATGTTTAGTGGTAACAGACCCGCCCTGGCCAGACTGAAGGCTCAGTTCACAGCCATGCAGGTAAGGTGTATCGTGTTATTGGAAACTCACGTTGTTCTGCGGGCAGGCCTGCCGGTTCGGAACCTGTTCTGCGGGCAGGCCTGCCGGTTCGGAACCTGTTCTGCGGGCAGGCCTGCCGGTTCGGAACCTGTTCTGCGGGCAGGCCTGCCGGTTCGGAACCAGTTCTGCGGGCAGGCCTGCCGGTTTTGACTAGATGGAGTACAGCAGAAGTGACTTTTTATAGCAGGTTAGGAGAACTTACAAAGAAGGTTAGGATAATTAACGTAGCAGGTTAGGAGAATTAGGTTGAGGTTAGGAAAAGGGTTATTGTCAGAGTTAACTAAAAAAGATCCCGATGCGATTTGAACATACAGTATCTAGTCACAAGCAGGCCTGCCCTAAGAACAGCCTTCGTTTTTTTCAATAACGCGATTCTGCTGCAGGTGAAACCAACATCAGTGTGCTGCCAACAGCTTCACTTCACCAGTGGTCCTCTGATCGCGAACACACGTGACCGACCTCCTTGAAAACCAAATGGGAATCTTTTGGAGACATTTTGAGCCAACTGTGGCGTGAGCTTTAGGCACATTCTTTACTCTGTTACCCAGGATACTGTGGAAGTCACAGCCCACGTGGCCCAGAAGGTCATCGCCCCCTTCTTCATCTTGATGCTGCTGGGGAGCTCTGTCAGTTACCTGGTCAGGTAATCTACCCCATACAGCCTAAAGAGGACTGGCCACCCCCCTGAGCCTGGTTCCTCTCTAGGTTTCTTTCTAGGTTCCTGCCTACCAAGGTCCCCTTCTTCTAGGGAGGCTTGCTCTTTTGGGCATAGGTCTGTAAAGCACTTTGTGACAACTGCTGATGTAAAAAAGGATTTATAAAATATATTTGATGTGATCGATTTCTGGTTCCAAGCATCCTTTTTTTACTTGTCTAGACAAGAGGAGTTAGAGTTGAGCAGGGTCTCTTCTTTTCCTCAGGTATCTCACAGACCTAAAGCATGACAATGTGTGTCAGACGGTCCGGCTACAGGAGTTACTGAGGGCCCGGGGGGTGGAGGAGCTCCCAGAGGCCTACAGGTGGGAAACAATCTGGCCTTAATGGTCACATGTACTCTCAATCTCTACCCAGTACGGCCACAGAGAGGACTGGCCACCCGCCTGAGCCTGGTTCCTCTCTAGGTTTCTTCCTTCCAGCCTGGACCTCTTCAGGTCCAGCCTGGGTATCTGTAGAGCACTTTGTGCCAACTGCTTATGTAAAAAGGGCTTTATAAAGTACATTTGATTGATTGATTACAGGAAGAGGCTGGTGAGGACCAGGGGCTGGAGGATGACACAGAGGGAGCTGAGACAATGCCTGTGGCAAGGCACCATCCTGGGCTTCTACTGCCTGGTGTGTGCCCTGATCCTAGGGCTCGACCATCTCATCTACTCTGTCTTGCAGACGCTTCTGAGCTGGGCACAGGACATTCCTGGGGTGCACACTGCCATCTCACTCCATCTGTGGGTCAGTATATTCATTTACGTTTAAGTCATTTAGCAGACGCTCTTATCCAGAGCGACTTACAGTTAGTGAGTGCATACATTTTTCATACTGGCCCCCCGTGGGAAACGAACCCACAACCCTGGCGTTGCGAGCGCCATGCTCTACCAACTGAGCTACATGGGACTATTCAATCAGAACTACCATCTCACTCCATCTGAAGGTCAGTATATTCAATCAGAACTACCATCTCACTCCATCTGAAGGTCAGTATATTCAAATCAAATCAAATCAAATCAAATTTTATTGGTCACATGCGCCGAATACAACAGGTGCAGACATTACAGTGAAATGCTTACTTACAGCCCTTAACCAACAGTGCATTTATTTTAAACAAAAAAAGTAAGAATAAAACAACAACAAAAAAAGTGTTGAGAAAAAAAGAGCAGAGGTAAAATAAAGTGACAATAGGGAGGCTATATATACAGTAAAATAAAGTGACAGTAGGGAGGCTATATATACAGGGGGGTACCGTTGCAGAGTCAATGTGCGGGGGCACCGGCTAGTTGAGGTAGTAGAGGTAATATGTACATGTGGGCAGAGTTAAAGTGACTATGCATAAATACTTAACAGAGTAGCAGCAGCGTAAAAAGGATGGGGTGGGGGGGCAGTGCAAATAGTCCGGGTAGCCATGATTAGCTGTTCAGGAGTCTTATGGCTTGGGGGTAGAAGCTATTGAGAAGTCTTTTGGACCTAGATTTGGCACTCCGGTACCGCTTGCCGTGCGGTAGCAGAGAGAACAGTCTATGACTAGGGTGGCTGGAGTCTTTGACAATTTTGAGGGCCTTCCTCTGACACCGCCTGGTATAGAGGTCCTGGATGGCAGGGAGCTTTGCCCCAGTGATGTACTGGGCCGTACGCACTACCCTCTGTAGTGCCTTGCGGTCAGAGGCCAAGCAGTTGCCATACCAGGCGGTGATGCAACCAGTCAGGATGCTCTCGATGGTGCAGCTGTAGAATTTTTTGATGATCTGAGGACCCATGCCAAATCTTTTTAGTCTCCTGAGGGGGAATAGGCTTTGTCGTGCCCTCTTCACGACTGTCTTGGTGTGTTTGGACCATGATAGTTCGTTGGTGATGTGGACACCAAGGAACTTGAAGCTCTCAACCTGTTCCACTACAGCCCCGTCGATGAGAATGGGGGCGTGCTCAGTCCTCTTTTTTTTCCTGTAGTCCACAATCATCTCCTTTGTCTTGGTCACGTTGAGGGAGAGGTTGTTGTCCTGGCACCACACGGCCAGATCTCTGACCTCCTCCCTATAGGCTGTTTCATCGTTGTCGGTGATCAGGCCTACCACTGTTGTGTCGTCGGCAAACTTAATGATGGTGTTGGGGTCGTGCCTGGCCATGCAGTCATGGGTGAACAGAGAGTACAGGAGGGGACTGAGCACGCACCCCTGAGGGGCCCCCGTGTTGAGGATCAGTGTGGCAGATGTGTTGTTACCTACCCTTACCACCTGGGGGCGGCCCGTCAGGAAGTCCAGGATCCAGTTGCAGAGGGAGGTGTTTAGTCCCAGGATCCTTAGCTTAGTGATGAGCTTAGAGGGCACTATGGTGTTGAATGCTGAGCTGTAGTCAATGAATAGCATTCTCACGTAGGTGTTCCTCTTGTCCAGGTGGGAAAGGGCAGTGTGGAGTGCGATAGAGATTGCATCATCTGTGGATCTGTTGGGGCGGTATGCAAATTGGAGTGGGTCTAGGGTTTCTGGGATTATGCTGTTGATGTGAGCCATGACCAGTCTTTCAAAGCACTTCATGGCTACAGACGTCAGTGCTACGGGTCGGTAGTCATTTAGGCAGGTTATCTTAGAGTTCTTGGGCACGGGGACTATGGTGGTCTGCTTGAAACATGTTGGTATTACAGACTCAGTCAGGGACATGTTGAAAATGTCAGTGAAGACACTTGCCAGTTGGTCAGCACATGCTCGGAGTACACGTCCTGGTAATCCGTCTGGCCCTGCAGCCTTGTGAATGTTGACCTGCTTAAAAGTCTTACTCACATCGGCTACGGAGAGCGTGATCACATAGTCATCCGGAACAGCTGGTGCTCTCATGCATGCTTCAGTGTTGCTTGCCTCGAAGCGAGCATAGAAGTGGTTTAGCTCGTCTGGTAGGCTTGTGTCACTGGGCAGCTCGCGGCTGTGCTTCCCTTTGTAGTCTGTAATAGTTTTCAAGCCCTGCCACATCCGACGAGCGTCAGAGCCAGTGTAGTATGATTCAATCTTAGACCTGTATTGACTCTTTGCCTGTTTGATGGTTCGTCGGAGGAACTACCATCTCACTCCATCTGAAGGTGATACAGTAGATTCAATCAGAACTACTATCTCACTCCATCTGAAGGTCAGTATATTCAATCAGAACTACCATCTCACTCCATCTGAAGGTCAATATATTCAATCAGAACTACCATCTCACTCCATCTGAAGGTGATACAGTAGATTCAATGTTAAGGGAGTTAGAATATCTCATGACAAGCTGCAGACCACACTAGCCTCCTGAGTGGGGCAGTGGTCTAAGGCACTATGCATCGCAGTGCTAACTGTGCCACTAGAGATCCTGGTTCGAATCCAGGCTCTGTCGTAGCCGGCCGCGACCGGGAGACTCATGGGCGGTGCACAATTGGCCCAGGGGAGGGGAGGGAATGGCCGGCAGGGATGTAGCTCAGTTGATAGAGCATGGCGTTTGCAACGCCAGGGTTGTGGGTTCGATTCCCACGGGGGGCCAGTATAAAAAAAAATAAAAAAATTCACTAACTGTAAGTCGCTCTGGATAAGAGCGTCTGCTAAATGACTAAAATGTAGTGTAAAAATGTATTTACCAAGATAGTTTTCATCTATATTTAGCTGTCTCTTTACCACCACAAACCGATGCTGGCACTAAGACCGCACTCAATGAGCTGTATAAGGCCATAAGCAAACAAGAAAATGCTCATCCAAAGGTGGCACTACTAGTGGCCGGTGATATTAATGCAGGGAAACTGAAATCCGCCCTCTAATTTTGACCAGCATGTCACTTGTGCAACTAGATCACCATTACTCCACACAGAGAGACGCATGCAAAGCTGTCCCTCGCTCTCCATTTGGCAAATCTGACAATAACTCTATCTTCCTAATTCCTGTTTACAAGCAGCAAAAACTCAAACAGGAAGAACCAGTGAAGAGCTCATACTACGGATAGTCCTGAATGAATCGATACGGATGCTACCACGATTACGGATAGTCCTGAATGAATCGTAAATAATGATGAGTGAGAAAGTTACAGACGCACAAATATCAAAACCCCCCCTAACCTCCCCTGTTATTGTAATGGTGAGAGGTTAGCATATCTTGGGGGGTATGATATAAAATGCTAACCTCACCTGTTATTGTAATGGTGAGAGGTTAGCATATCTTGGGGGTATGATATTTATGCGTCTGTAACTTTTCTCATTCATCATTATTCACGATTAATTCAGGACTGGCCGTAATCGTGGTAGCATCCACATTAAATAATGTAGAAATGTTTAGAAACATACTCTATTCTTATTTACAATAAAAGTGAGTCCAACCCCCCAAAATATCAAAACAAACAGCAAATGCATCCAACAAGTTTGTAGTCACAAGCTTGATGTAATCATTGCGTGCTAGGAACATGGGACTAAATACTAAACTTTTGACTACTTTAATAATACACATATACAGTAAGTGAATACTTTTGGTCGCCTAAAATTGGGGGACTATGTACAAAAAGTGCTGTAATTTCTAAACTGTTCACCCGATATGCATGGTATATGATCACACTGGTAATAGACAATGTGTTGTGCTACTTGTGAGGCACAGCTGATTGAGAAAAATCATTTGCTTTTTTTTTTACTGGACTGATGGCCTGCATCTGATGGTCAGTCTGAGGGGAGGGAGGGGGAACAGCGGTGAGGCTGTCCCTCTGCTCTCCCTCCCTCTGCTGCATAAACCATCCAGCTGATGGTGCCACTCGTTACTGCATTACTTCTGCCTCATGCACCAATTCACCTTGTTACTCCTATGACCAGAGAAAGTGAAATATTCCTCGATATTAAAAAAAAAAGACACAAGCCGCTAATAATAACAACTCAAAACGTTGCTATACTCATTCATTGCAGCTGCAGGGCTGTAGCGTGAGTGAAAGTAGGGAGAACGCACATTTTATGGCTTATAAAAATGTTGAACAAATTGTTGACAGTACTGAATAACAATTTAAACCTAAACTTAATTACAAAATACAGCAGCTCTTTTCTGTATTAATGTCTCTCTCTACTCATGATTTTAAACATTTTGAAATATCACAGTATCAACTTTGCTGTGTGTTCAATGTTTCCTTTTACAGTCTATGGCTCTAGAAAACTGACACAGTGATCGGAGATGATTGATCTGATTGGCCAGCGGCACTTGATTTGCTCTCTGGGCCTGCCGGGTAGGCCGAGTTCTACCTTCAGAAACATGAAATGGTTAAAAATGGGAACACGTTGCCTTCCCGGCGCTATGGCTGCTGAATCAAGTGAACCTACGGCAATAAAACAATAGGAATGCAAGGCTTTATCATTGTTGTTTTTTACAGAAATGTTTGGTGATCGATCGGTTGGTGACCACTGGAGTACAGAGTTAAAACAATAAGAAGTGTGTCAATGCTTTTGACCGTACGTACATATTCCAACCAGAAGCCATGGATTACAGGCAACATCTGCACTGAGCTAAAGGCTCGAGCTGCCGCTTTCAAGGAGCGAGACACTAATCCGGACACCTATAAGAAATCCTTCTATGACCTCAGACGAGATCGAAGATCGAATCCTACTATGCCGGCTCTGATGCTCGTCGGATGTGGCAGGGCTTGCAAACTATCACGGATTACAAAGAGAAATCCAGCCGTGAGCTGCCCAGTGGCGCGAGCCTACCAGATGAGCTAAATGCCTTTTATGCTCGCTTCGAGGCAAACAACACTGAACCATGATTGAGAGCACCAACTGTTCCGGACGACTGGGTGATCACGCTCTCTGTAGCCGATGTGAGTAAGACCTTTAAACAGGTTAACATTCATAGGGCCAGATGGATTACCAGGACGTGTACTCAGAGCATGCGCTGACCAACTGGCAAGTGTCTTCACTGACATTTTCAACCTCTCCCTGTCCGAGTCTGTAATATCTACATGTTTCAAGCAGACCA